TGCTCCCCGTGGTTGCAGCTAAAGGAACTTAGACATCTACGATTCTGTGTGGAACCTGATTTTTTCTTTCTCTTTTTCCTCTTTCCCTCTATGTATGGAGGGTTTCCTCTTGGGGAGGAAGGAAAGGGGATGCAGTATTGTGCCCCTTCCTATATCCTTGATGGAGAAATGACTTTTTTTGTGGGTTTGGAAGGGAGATGAAACTTGTTTGCTGTGAAATTTTGCTTGGGGGAAGCTGTTCCTGCAATAAGTGAATTTTCTGGTTGTGTTACAAGGCGGCTCTGAGCTTTCTGGTGGCAGGGGGTGGACGAGCCCTGGCCCTGGCTGTTACCGAGATGGGCTGTGCTTGTTTTGCAAGGGATTTATTTATTTTTCCTGGAGTATGTGGAGAAAGCAGCAAAAATATTAGCGAGCTCTTGTTTTTGCAAGCGCAGAGGTTACGGAAACGTCCTGCTTTCTGCCATGCAAAACACTGCTGTTGCAAAACAGCAAGTTTTGCAACGAGCCCCCTGGGCTTCGGCCAGCGCCGCGCCGGCCACCCCTTCCCCCGGCTGCCAGCAACATTCCTGCTGGATTTTCCCTCCTGGAAAGCCCAAAGCCCTGAGCGAGACGTGCCGACAACACAAACCCACTCACAATAGGAACGTGGGCCAAAAATATGGATTTTTGTGGCTCTCCATCCCGCCCTGCTGCGCGGTGCCCTCTGGATGCTCTCTGGCATCTCGCCCCTCTGCTATCCCAAAATCCGCCGCCCGAGGCGGGTGCTTTTGCCTCGGGATGGCTGGGGGATAGAGGGTCTCGTGCTGGGCCTGCCGCAGATGCACGCGTTGTCCCCGGGCCCGTGTCACAGGTGTCCCTGCTGTCCCCACGGCCCTGCTCCGCGGTGACGCAGCGCGGCCGGGATTCATCCCTGGCGCCCGAGGGACAGGGACGGCGCCTCCCCTTGCACTCCAGCAGAATTAGGAGTTATCAAAGTGGCTGATGATTAGCAGGGAATAAAATGTACTTGCAGTAATGCTGCATTAGCTACAGATAAACTGATACCAGCTGCCTTTGCGTTCCTGAAGCGGCTCTGCTTCCAGTTGTTAGGGGAGGATTCTGGGGTCGGGTCGTGCCAGCTGCGTCCTGGCCACGCAGGGCTGCTGGTGCCCACCCTGGGCCCAGCTTTCCCTGCATTTTGCTCCATGCACCCCGTTCTCCAGCACATTAGGGGTTCGTCGTCTCCTCGGGGGCTCCTTGGCAAACCTGCAAGAATTGGAGTCTCCGGCCTCGGAGCAGCACCCGGATTGAGCCGGCACCTCCATCCTCCCGTGCCGTCCTGTACGTGCACGTATGTCCGTTGATAAGAGGACACATCCCGCCCTTGAGCTGTCTCCTCTGGGCCGGCTCCTGCTTTCCCGTAACCGGGTGCTGTCATGCTGAGAATGAGAATATTCGCTCGGGTCCCGACGCAGGTGCATTTGTGCAGCCGCTCACAGGGCTGCACCCGGCCGGGTTTCCTCCTGCCTTTCTCCTGCCTCTTGCGGGTGTTTGGGGCTGCCTCGAGTTGCTGGTTTTCTTCAAGATCATCTTCAGAGTCTGCCAGGTAGGAAGCCCCAGCCCAGCACGGCTGCCTATTTTTATTCTTAATACTTTTTAACACAAAAAGCCCCCAGAAACTGTATTTTTAAGCTGTATTTTGGCTCTGGAGAAGCAGGAGGAGCCAAGTGGCACCGTGGTGCCCGTTGCCCTCGTGCTCGCCCAGAGGGTTGCGCGGGAGCCCCACGGGGACGAGCGAGCCCTTGGTATCCAATACAATCCAATAACAAAACGGTTGTATTTGTGCAAGCGGCTGCTCTAAGACAGCTAAGTAATTTCCAGGGGAACTCTCTTTTTTTCCACACGCTCCTGTTACACGTTTTTTGCATACTAATCCATATACGAGCCTTAGAGGTGGAGGTTTGCTGCTTTAAGCGCAGCCCTTGGCTTTGTCACCAGAGGTGGCCCGGGCGCTGTGCCCGTCACCGGGGCTGCGGGGCTCCCCGCGCCGCCTCTTTGGCCATGTTATTGCTTCCTGCTCTCTGCTCCGTTATCGCGTTTTCTCTTTTAATAAGCGTGAAGCGAGAGCCTCCGGGCACCATCAAGCCCTGGCTTATTACTGCCTCTGCGTCTGTGTTTGTGTTCGCGGGCTGACAAGTCAGAAACATTTCTCTCTTGCCTTTAATAAGGTGGTAAAGTTCACGCCGGCTCTTTTTCCTGCTGCCGCTCGCGCCGTGCGTGTCGATGCATCAAACCGCTCGTTTCCACCCATCCGGGGAGCCTCTCCTGGAGACGCCAGAGCACTTAGTGCGTTAAAGGTGGTAAAGGATGGAGAGCAGAGTCCTTGACCTCCCGGAGCGCACGAGTGACCTGCGCCCGGCGAGCCCGCGGGGTCGGGGTGGCCCTGATGTGCTGGGAGGGTGTTCCAGCCTGAGCCCTGCTGAGCTCCTAGCAGAGGACACGTCCTTCCCATGGCAATTGCAGGATGCTACGGGGAGAGGGGCTCGTTTCCATATGGATTGGCGGTAGATGGGTGCAGGTTTTGGCAGCGGGAGCAGCATCTGCCCGTTGGGCACGTGTGGGATGCACGGGGAGGCAGGACCCGTCCCTGCTCTCTACGCGGGTGACGTTTTCCTCACGTGCTTGTTGGGAAAGGCTCTGGAAGGTCACGGAGCTCCCCTTGCAGCTCTGCAAACAGAAAGCGGCTCCGCGGGGCCTCCCGTGTCCCAGAATCGTTTTCCTCCATGTCTTCCTGCCCAAGCCTCTCGCCGCATCAGGCTGTTGGAAGTAATCAGCCCCCGTGGTTATTTCAGCTAGCGCTAATTAGTGCCATGAACTAATTAATGGGGGTTGATTTTCCTCTTCTCTTTCTAATGCTTTTTTAACCCACGGACGCATTCCAATTAAGGGACCCATGCAGGGACCCGGCTGCAATGACTCAGAGCACTCGCAGCTGGAATAAACCGTGTGCTTTGCTGAAGGTCACCAATCCTGCTGCAAATCCCCGTGCCCGCCGGCGGGGACACGGCCTGGCCTCACGACGAGCACCTGAAGCGTCTCCCACGTTGGTGCTGTGCGAGCAGGTCGGTGGGTGCTGCTGGATGCACCGAGAGCGGCAGTGCTCAGCGCTGCTCTCCGCTTTGCATTGGTGCCACGTGGCTCTGCGCGCAAGGCTGCTCGTGCACCTTGTTCCATGAGGGGTGGCACTGCCCACGTGGCAGGGAAGCCTTCCACTGTGCCCTGCAAGGTGTCCCTGCGCTCCCGAGGATGTGGATGGGGAGCATCATGGATGGGGAGGCTGCTGCGTGGTGGGGAAGGACGGGAGTATCCCGTGCCCTGCGTGTGCACCGCCCGCGTGCGCTTAGAGCTGGTGCTTTACCCATCTGGCTGGACAGTGCCATGTTTAGTCCTCCTGGGGCTGGCCTTGTCCCTTTCTGGACGTGGCCAGCTTCGGCCACACCGCCCCTTCTGCAGGGTGGTTTCTTGAGGTGCTTTTATGTGCAGGAGATGACTGCAAAGCAGGGATGCAAAGCGCGGGGCAGGCCCCACGTTCCCATTTTTGACCTTTTCCTGCTCTGTCAGAGCTGGAGGACGATGCTGTCCCTGTCGCTTCTCCCCGTGACGAGCTGGAAAACCTTTGCAGCTCTGGCCGCTCTTTCTGTGCCCGCGAGCTGCGGTGTCCCCCGTGGTGCCCGTGAGCTGTGGTGTCCCCGGGACATGGATTGGAGCTGTGGGCGCCCGGGGGCAGCCGAGGTGCCAGCGGCCCCGTTCCCCTGCAGCAGCTCCATCACCGTCAACAGCAGCCGTCAGGCCGCGCGGTGCAGAGGAGGGCAGAGGCACCACTTGGTTATTCATCTTTAACCTTTATTTTTGTTCAGCGTGCCCCCGCTCGCGGGGGCTCCCGTTGCAGCCGCTCGCCGTGTGCGGGCTCGTGCCCTGCCACCCGGCACGCTGCAGCTTCCCCCTGCCGCCGCCGGGAATCCTGCTCCGGAGCCCTGGGGCGCTCGAGGAGAGGGTCCCCCCTCCCAGCCATCCGGTAACAAGAAGGCAGGAACAGTGTCTACCAATCTTTTTTTTCTCATTTGTTTGATTTTTGTTTGCCTTGTTGTTGTTGTTTTGGGGGTTTATTTGGCTGATGCAATAAAGGCCCTGGTGCATCCTGGCCTTGCAGCTGCTTTCTGTGAGCTCCTCCAGCTTGGCCGCAGCTCCCCGGGGAGCGATGTGGTCCTTATCACTGTGCAGAGCCTGCCCCGGTTCTCCACAGCCCTTGCCCATAGCTGGACGCTCTTGGTGTTGGCCCTTCCCTGGGTTTGGAGGTTAAAAGGGGCCTGCTGGTGTATGAGGTTTGGCCAAGCCCTTGGAGATGTTCCCCTGGAATAACACGGTGTGGCTCTGAGCAGGTTCCTCACTTCGTCCCCAAGGGAACGTGCTCGAGCCTGAACAAACTATTTCCCTTGCAAACTCGAGCTGTGTTGAACAAAGTGTACCGAGGTGCAAAACAAACTGCTACCGAGGTCAGCAGGACCTGAGCCTGAGCGGCCAGGAGCCTCAGAGCCTCTCAGAGCACAATACAGATGTCCTTGCGTGTGATCGTGTTTGGATTTGCTGGTAGTTCTCTTCAACTTCCCTCCCGGATTCCTCATGAGCTGGGGAGGACACGAGATGCTCGTGGCAGCCCGGCAGCCTGGCTCTTGGTCGTGGTTTGGCACTGGTGGCAATAGCCAGGGTCCTTCCCCGCTCTGCTGGTCTCCTCTGGGTTGATTTGGAGGTGCTTGTGGCTCTGTTTCGTGCTGTAAGTGCACAGCAGGTTGCGGGTATTGGCTTTCTCCAGCCCACGCACGTGTCCTGCTTGGCCCTCTGCTCCAGGTAACCTTGTTTTTATTGATGTTCCTGCTGGAGACGCAGTTAATAGAAGGAACCATCTCTAGAGAGGGGAGTACCCACGATGTGCAGAAGACCTGAGTTTCTCTCTTGCCTTGCAGGGTTTCAGCGGACCTCCCCATGCAGCCTTCGCCCTGAGCTGTGACCCGCGAGCGGTGAAGGAAAAATACGAGCACGAAGCCACCCACGAGCTGGAGTATGAGAGCGAGCTGTCCATCCGGATAGGTAGAGCTGGGCTCCATCCAGGCAAGCATCCTGCCATATACCAGCCGCGGAGCGCGCGGGCACCGTGCCCTGCTAAAGTGGCTCCTAGACTGGAACGTGTGTGATTGAAATTGGATCCCTCCTGCCTTGTGCATGCCCAGGGCACCTTCCTTCCCCGCTCTACATCTCTGCGAGAATCATGACTTCTCAAAACCACTTGCATGTCTGTCCGTGCCTGTGAGTTATTGGTAATTAGATCTCTTGTTCACCAGGGGAATGAAATCATTGATTTAACCTGAGATGAGTTTATCCTCGGCGTGGGCGCAGGTTGGGCTTAACCTGCCCTTGCTGACTGGTGTCACGTTGGAGGTGACCGTTACGGTGACCCTCAGCCACCCGACCTAATTATAGACTATGCCTGGCAGTCATTTTTTCACTCCTTATGCTGGAGGTTAATAGATTTTCAGCTGCCGAAGTGTGGACTAAAATGTCTTGTTGGCAGATATTTCTTCTTTACGTGCTTTTGAAAGGGAAAAAAAAATCCTTATTCAAAGTGATGGAAGCTGGTGAGGTTTCCCAGTTGCAGGGACGGGATATGTCCCTCTCTCAGGCCTGGATCCTGTTCTTGTTGCCAGGCAGAATTCACCTAATGCAAATTTTCCTTGTCTAGTTAACAGCTTTTCAGGAGACAAAAGACAATGTGATTTAGTAAATGAATCTTATTACTCTCCTGCTTTTTCTTAGTTGGAAAGAAACTGAAACGACAGTTTACAGTTTCTGGAATATAACTAGGAACAGATTGAGATGAAGAAATGACCCCCTTCTTGCAAAGAATAGCATTAGCCTCTTAAATCAGGCTGTGTTATTTTACTCCATTGTATAATTGCATTCTTTTCATGAAGTGTTTCAAATCCACAGGGTTCTTCAGGTTTTTCAAATGTCATCCTGGAGTTTTCCAAAGGGATGGAAGGAAGTGTATTTGGCTCCAGTGTATTTGGTGATTTTGATGTCTTTTAGCTCCCAGAACAAGTGCAGACTTGAATGCTGCTTCTAGCCCTGCAATCAGCAAGGCTGTTGCAAGGTTTTTCGTATATTGTAAGGTCAAAACACTGCATGCAATTTAGATTTTTTCTGTAAAACAAAAACTCTGCATTTTCCAGTCAGTTAAACTGCTGGGATTTTATGTTTTCATCTTCTCTTAGTTGCAAACAAAAACAATGCAAATGGTTTTGAGAATGGAAAATTTCCATTAGGCTCCATTGGTTTTATTTCTCGGGGGAAATTGTATTAAGGATCTGCAATACGTTAATTCTTTTATTGTCTTGTGCTGCTTCATTCCTGCGCTTCCTGAGGTGAGCTCGGTGCTTTCACTGGGGTTCTCGGCCGTGCTCTGGGGAGAGCTCGGGAACATCACGGGTATTTTCTGAATCTAACAGGTACATCTTAATGGGGCATTTCAGACTTAATCAGGGCTGAGTTATTGGCCCTTACTTTGTATTTAGCCATCTTAAGTAATGAAAACAAAGCAAAATCCCAAAGCAAGCCCCGGCGTGGTGCCGTGTTTGCTGTTGGTGCACGGGGATGCTGCCGAGCAGAGGAGCTGGGGACTTGGTTTGGAAATGGCCAGAGGAAGAGTGGAAATGCAGAGCTGGGCATCCGAGGAGCCTGAGGTCTCTGCTGGTTGGGATTTGGGCTTGTGCTTGACTTGCTTGAGGGGATCCTGCTAGAAGGGCCCTTTAGACCTGTGGAAACAGGGATGGAGGAGATGCGAGTGTTCAGTCGATCCCTCATCCCCTCCGTTGGGCGACAATCCTTCGCTGTGCGAAGCAGAGCATAGGCGGGTGTGGTAGGAATTGCAGTGAAAAGTGTGTGTCTAGACACAGTGTTTAAAGAGTGGGATAATCACTAGGCTTTAATTGCTATGAAGTAAAGAGAACCCAGCCTCGTGTTTGGCGTCTCTGGGAAGGAAGCAGACGTGGAGGGAGCTCTGCCTCCCTTGGCACAGGCTGCTGCAAATGCAGAGGTTCTTGGTTTCCTGGTGCAAATGAGTGAAGCCCCATCCCGTGCTGTCCTTGGGGACTGACCCAATCCCCAAATGTCCCCCAAAGAGCAGGGACACGTCGAACCACAGGAGCTTGCAGACCTGAAAACGAGGGTGAAGAGTTGCAGCCAGTTCACCGCCGGATGCCGCTTCCCCGGAATTCTGCAGGAATTGCAAAGGAGGAATTGTCGGAGGCCGGCTTTGCACCCTGGAAGGAGAGCTGGGCGCCTCACCAAAGGGATCTCCTACCAGGCTGCACCTTGAGCTCGGCACGGTGACTCACGATCCTGCAAGCGGAGTGCTCAGCAGGGCGGGATGTTGGTTCCCTGCCGTGTCCTGGTGCAGAATGATTCATGCCGCTCCAAATCGGATTACGGAGGAGTGGGAGGGCAGCGACGCTCCCTCAGCACCAGCAGCTTTAATGTCCCTGCCGCAGAGCTGCGGGAGAAGCCCCGTCCGTGGCCCGGGCAGTGCTTTCTAGGCACCTTGTGGTGGAGGATTTCACAGCAGAGCAGCCTGCAAAGTGCCCAGGGTAAAACAGGCTCAAACTGAGTCTCACTGAGCCCGGCGCCGGGACCATCTCGCTGCCCTGGCTGCAGCCCACGGCTGCTCCGCGCTCCAGCTGCCGGGAATCACAGGGAAAGACAGGGATGCGGTGAGCTGAGCTGGATGCTGGGGCAGCTCCATGGCTGTGTCTCCCTGTGCTCCCTGTGCCCTAGGGAGCTTAGTTGGCTTCGCACACCCGATGTGAGTCCCTGTGAGCAGCCTTCCAGCCGAAGGCTGTCCTGCACGTCCAGCCTCGTGCCGCCAGCGCGGCTGAGTTACTAACGTTATCGAGAGGAACGTGCCTGCATTTTAGTAACTCCATTGATTTTTGGCGGTGTGCGGCTTAGGGAACGGCGCTCCGGCATCGCTGCGCCGATGCTCAGTAAGTAAATCCACGTGGGAATAGTAATTAGAAAGAAAAAAATACTAGTGTTTGAAGTAGCGTGCTTAAGAAATGGGATTTCATTAAACTTGCTAGTTAAATGAACCGTGAGGCTTGGGGGTGCCATAGACGAATCCCACGACGTTTAATTTGTGTTTGCTTTCCTGAACGTGCCCTGCTCTGCCAGGCAGCACAGCAGCGTGGTGCAGACCCCTTGCCTGGGGACTTGGAGCTGCTGCTTTGGCCGGAGGAGCTTCCCCGTGGCCAGGGCGAGCGCAGCTGGAACAGACCCTGCCAGGATCCCTGCTCTCCTCCAGACCTCAGCTTTGCCTCAGCCTCGTTATAAGCAGTTTTTTCTCTATTTTTCTGCCTCCTTTCTGAGGATTTCAGTGTGCTCCGTGTTGTTTTTTCTTTCCCTTCCCTTTCAAAGGAATTACCGTGCATCAAGGTTGAGCCGTGGAGTACGGAGGAGAGGAGCAGGTCGCGTGCACGTGGGGTCGTTCGTCAGTGCCTAGGCGGTTAGTGTTGCCTAAGGATGAAATAAGCTTCTGATGAAAGGAAGGGAAGGAGCTGGAGAGATAAGAGGCAGCAAAGCCCTCGGAGACGAGAGCAGGAGAGGGGTGAGTGGTGGGGCTTGTTTTTGTGCTTCGGGAGCTGTAGGATGTTGTTTGCCTCTCGTCTAGCTGTGTCCTTGCAGCCATAAAGTCCCTTCTTTGCCCTGCTCCGTCTGAAATGCGGGTTTGTTTGCTCAGGGTTTCCATTAGCTGCAGCAGAAGCCGGTGAGGTTCTCGCTCGCTGTGCGCGGCACGGCCGCGTTGGAGCTCGCGGAGCCGGGAGACCTGCCCGTTAGCGCTCGGGATACACTGACACCGTTCAGAAAATGAATGTTTCGGAGCTCCTGGAATGCGTGTTCCAGCACGTGGGACAACAGAAGACCACAGTATGTGTGCGGAAGCAGAATGCGGTGGTCCCAGCCACGGAGCATCCCTCACCCTCCCTTGGAGCATCCGCTCCAAGCCTGGGCTTATTCTGCACCATCTATGGACTCCTTTATTTTACCTACTTTCCTCCTGGAGCATGAGGAGAGCAGAAAGCCTCCCCTATCCAAGCAGCCTGCGTTGATGAGAAGATGAGCGGTGTGATGAGGCTCAGCAGAGGAGTTCGTGGCTCTGCAAGATCTGATCCATGCAGCCTCTCCAGCCCCGAAGCCGCCGTGATTCATGGTGCTAATATTCAGCCGGAGCCGTCCGTGTGCATCGGAAAGGTTCATTAAGTCATTACAACTTGCATAACACGAAGCTCCTTATGCAAAATGGATCGCTTGCTAGCTTTGGATGGTTCCAGCGCATTTGTAATAGCGTTGACTCGTTCACACCACGCTTGGCCTGCTCGCGCGCCGCCAAAACGGCTGCTTTCAGGAAGCATCAATTCATTTGGGGTTTTAATAGCCAGCCTTGATGATGAGCGCCTCTGGCGCTGGCTATATTGATTTAAAAACATTCTCGTGTCCCGTTCTGGAGCATTTCAAATCGTTATTGACCATCGCTTTCAGACTGGCTTCTGCAGTTGGTTTTTGTAATCAAAACTAGATATGAATTTGTATGCACAAAGCGTTTAAAAAAAAAAAAATCAAAGCACCTAAGCTTGGTGCCCATTAGCACAAACTGATAGAATTGCTTCTTCAAATGGAGGTTTGTGCCCCTATTATTCTGGTCAGGACCTCACTCCTTGGATTAGGAGTTTTGATTTTTCAAGGCTAAATGAAACCTGGCAGTTCCTTCCCTCTTGCTCGCACTGTCTCTTTGCCTGAACATCTTCTTTTGCTCTACTTTCCAGGCTGCGCTTAAGAACCTCTTGGAAGTATTTGCAGTGGATTAAACCCCGCGCTTCCACACGGACCTAAAGCCGCAGCGAATAAATCCCGGGCTCGCTCCGGGTGCAGGTTAGGAGGGTTTCCAAGGGCTCACGGGCTGATCCTTAAGTAAATGCCAGCAGTGGCCAGCGAGGCCGCTCTCCCGGATGCGATCCGGTTTTCCCACCTCGGAGCCGTGCCGAGAGGGGCTCTCCGTGTTG